ATCCAGAAAATGATTGGCATATTACCTGATGATGAGAATAACCCTGCATCTCACCTCAAAGACCGTTGCAGTTGTGTAGCGTTTATCGCCCATCGTGAACTTCCGCAGATAGAAATCTGAAAACCACGTGACTTAAATGAAATCTACAAAACTGCTGCTGAATCTGCTATAACTTCACTGGCTTTTACAGTATTCTATAGAGAACAGTCACACTCTACTTTCTGTTTCAAGACAACAAATGATGGGCTGAAAGCAGTGTACTGTACTGTAGTACAATTTTAATGTACATTTTTTCTCAGTTTTTAAGATTTGATGTAGCTTTAAACTTCTAGTGTTGTACTTTTTGACCACTACATTTATTTGACCACATTAGTTACTTTGCTGATTCAGATTATCACTACAAAATGCAACTAAGAAATTATGATGCATTATTATAGAGCAACATTTAAGTTATATACACAATAATACATCACTATTTGTAATGATATAATATAAATTACTTAATACTTCTGTATTTTAACTTTTAAAAAAAAGAGTTAAAAGTACTTCTTCCACTGCTGGCTTCAACTCTTTCTTGCCCCTGCACTACCAGGTTTAAGATTTGGTAAATGAGTACACACATGACAAGGCTTGTCATACTAGGACAAAGGTTGAAAATACACAAAGTGGTCCTTTAAACTAAATTTAGATCTCATTTCTGTCTTAATTATGTAAAATGCTCCACTGTAGCAGCAGTAGTAATAATAATAGTTAATATTATGCTGATCATTGAGTGTCAACAATGCATGGGATGTAACATCCCATACAGGAAACATTAATGATTCATAACTCCCCCCTCCCCCCATGCTCTAAGATCACACAATCATTGCTGGTCCTTGCTTCCTCCTCCTCCTCCTCACTCACTGACTGCAGAAACACGCGTTTTATCCGCCGGCCTGGTCCCACACCGACAAGACAAAAACCACAGCAGTAAGTAACGTTAACGCTGACTGACAGTCGGGGATTCAGTCTGGGGATTAATGTTGCGAATCATTCACGAGACATTTTGGGAAATTAATGAATATTCGGCGGTGTCCAGTCAGCAAGGGACTCGGGGTGTGTTAGCCGAAGGCTAGCAAGCGGCTAGCTGAACGGGGCAGCTCGCGCGCGCTAACGCCGACCAGAACGGCTGTCACGCCAGCTGGACGCCTGCTTCAGTGGCCGCTGTTCTACATTGACATTTCACACAAACGTTTTAATGAATACGGAGTGCGTTAGTGTCGCATTTTAAAGCGTTGCTTTGGTGTCCTCTTAAAGCTAGCCGCCT